TTCCATTTTTACAGGAAATGTACAGTTTGCATACAGTCTCTTTCAAAATAAACGCACTACGCCTTGAACTGAGTTTTTTTCCCCTCAACAACACACATGGTTTCGTTTAGCTGACACATGCATGTGGTTGGGTTTAGGAAAAAGAACAGGGTTTGGCTTTACAATCATATGGGAAGCAAACACCAGCCTCCAGGGTGAAAGTCGGTTGTTGTTGACCCATCTACCACCTCTCCTACCCACACTACTCAGACTTGCACTCCCCTAACTTATGCTGTTGTCCCGCCACAGTTCCCCCTGATGCTAGCATGCGTTATTTAAACAATAATGGTGACCAGCCACATATCATGCTGACGTGAAAGAATGGCTTTTTTTGTCGCTGTCTGATGCTAGAAGTCACTGACCAAGTGCCGGTGTTCAATGACTTTGGAGTGAGACCGTATTGGTTTCTACAGTGGCCCAGAATGGACAAATCAAACACTGGCTCTTGACAGAGCCATTCATGGTTTTGCATCGGCCACTGTAGTTCTCCAACATGCCTAGCATACAGGAGAAGTTTCAGTTGGTAGCCATATGCAATTTTACCGCTAGATGTCACTAAATCCTACCAATGTATCCTCATAGAACAGATATCCTACAAATTAGCCCCCCCACAAATAATGTTATGTCCTTAATGTAAAGTTACATCGGCTAACTGACGTAAAGTTATGGAGGTTAGATTTAGGCAAGTAAAGTTACTGTGGATAGGTTTAGGAAAAGGCAACTGGTTGGGTGTTCCGAACACATCCCCTGGGGAAAGTCCTGTGTTTTATGACCCATTCACCACCCCAACATGCCACTGTAAAAATCTGCTTGGGACCGCTTCCTTGTTCACTCCCGTCAGCGCATTGGTCACGTGAAAAAAACATACAAGGATGTGCAAGAAGCATAACTGCTGGTTTAAAGACACATTGCGATTTTCCATTTGTTTCCTCAAGGCAATGCTGTGCATATAGGCCACTACTTGTGCATATACCATGCTTCATAATGGAGATCATGATGTAAAATGATGACCCTACAGTGTTTTGCTTATCAATCACTTGTAATAATGGACAAAACAACATTTCATGATCCAAAGGGGTAAATGGAACGTTATCAAGTGGGTCTTGATCACGTTCTTGAGTTAAAGGCAGTGATTGTGATGGAGAATGATCATGGATCCACCAATCAGGTTTGAGAGGCAGATGTCACCACTCTAGAGCACAGAAAGACACACAGAAACTACACAGTCCTCAATCTCACATTTGTTACAAAGAATAATGCACATATGTGAAAAAGGAAATAGGGAAAAATAACATTTAGCCAAACAAATGCACAGTACTATACACACTAACAAACACACACAAATAATTGCATCATTATTTAATGTATGTATACACAATAAAATCAGTGAGGCTGAACAGAATTTGTTCAACAGGATGTAGATACTAAAATCTGACACAAATGTGGATTCTCTACAGGATACAAGTGCTCACGCAACTGAAACATGAAAGCCTTGTCACACCTTCACTTGAGTGCATCAATGGTTTACCACTGCAATGGCAGCAAGAGCGCTGCTCACCACAAACTGCGTCATGTGTTTCAGTAGTGAAATAGATTAGAGATTAGATTTGATTCCGCAGGGTGTGAGTGCACACTGCACAGATGAATGAAATGACAAATTAACAAGTTTGTCTCATTAGCTGCAAAGGTCACTCTCCAGCACTTCATTTATTACTGTAATAGCTGCCATCCTTAAAACATGTAATGTGGGAATCATACAATGGTGATTCACGGCATGCTCATCTAAGCACGTTAACAGCCTTTTCATTTGGGTGCCACCAGAAATATGACATGAATGATATTTTAAGGTCCAGTGTGTTTTTTCTAGTTTTGTTTGACAACTATTTCTTTTTAAAAGATTTTTTTGGCCATTTTGCCTTTGATGGGTGAGGTGGGTGGGTGTGATGACATGCAGCAGGGTGCTACAGACTGGATTTGAACCCAGGCTGCTGCGGCAACAGCCTTGTGCATGGGGCGCCTACTCTACCACTAAGCCACCAATGCCCTGCTTGACAGCTATTTCAGATTTTTCACTGAAGAGTATGCAGTGCAAAAGTTGAATTAAATCCACAGGGGATTAGGAAACTAACACTTTGGTCTCAGACTCTGGTTTCAATAGGGAGTGGTGTTAAAGGGTAGAAGATAAAGCTGTTAAAGGTTAAGGCTCAGGCCTGCATATTAATGAAAGAAGTTTCTAAAATCATCAGATTTGTTGCCCAGCTGATGTGAAAAATGAAACCAATCTATCTTTGGTGTTATTTTCATTTATACCACATTATGCAAACTGAGTGTGAGTGAGAACATATTGGGTTACGTTCTCAGTTTATGCTTCCATCAAATATCATCTATGATCTCTAACTTTTATCCTGTTTTTTGCAGAACTCTGTTTCAGTGTTATAGATGTGAAAGATACAAAGATAGGACATTTGCATTGGGATTTTTTTACCACTACATTTTTCACATTTATTGCACTTTAATTAGTTTTGTGGACTTATGCAGAAACATATGAACAACTTTAACTATGCTACCTTACGTATCATGTGTAGAGCTTAGTTTGGGATATGAGATATACAACAAGATACAGGTCAACCTTAAACTTCCCACCTCATATCTCCTGCAGTTTGTCACAGTTTTTTTTGCATGTGCAGGGTTGTGTGTGTACAAGATAATTCTGCTCAACAAAAAGTTGAGATTTTGTCTTTGTTAACATTTGCCACAGAAAGTCCTTTCGCTTTTTCCATTCCTTGCTCACATCACCTGTTTTTATATATGGAAGGCAATTTGTACAGCACATTTCATTACAACTAAACTCATTGTGCTTCATATGAAAATGTATATGCAACCACTGACCAATCTAAAGACAGCAACTGCACAGATATAAACCACAGAATCAGAAATGCATAGTGATACTGTAAAAGGCCAGCCTACGTATCTTACTGACCTCACTTTTAGAGCTAAGAAAATTACTCATACGCTCCTGAGTACTACTCTAAGCATGAAACCATTTCCTGTGTCTGGCTTTTAAGACCTACTACAAGTACGTAAATCTGATATCAGTTAAGCTATAAAAAATGAATGCAGTACACCAGGCCTTTAAGATTATTAGATATGCAGCTGATGTCAGCCTGAAGTGCTATTTATGAATCCAGATTGTTTTGGTGTGAGTTGCCAAGTGTTGGAGATCTTGGCTGTAGAGATGTCTGCCTTCCCTCCAAAATAATGACACTAGATGGCATTTGGCTTGTGAAGCTCAAAGTGCCAAAAACATAGATTTGAAAAACTCAACAGCAATGTTTCTTTCCAGAAATTAAGATAAAGTTACTAACGGTAATTCACAGAGCTTGTTGTGAGCAGTTTAACGTAGGAACTATTTTCTTCTTTACTGAACTACACCTGCTAATCATACCACAGCACAGAGGGAAGCATGAATCCACTGTTAGCTCACCTAGCACTACTGAGCAAGCTAAAGTTACAGCTCAGCCAGGGAGGATGGATGCCATAAATGTTTATATCTCACACTGTCACAAGCATGAGCCTCTCACAGGCCCCTGGAAGTGCACCGGGCTTTGAAGCTAATTTTTGTAGTGGCCCAATGGTGTAATTACACAGTCACGTGATACCATGCAACCTAAAAAGACTTTTCCCTTTTGACTTACATGGCAAAAAGGACATCTATAAATAAGTAGATACATTTTTTGAGTGTCACAACCCTGCAAAACGACTTGTTTTACTATCAAGATTAATTCATCTGGTCTGATAACTATTGTAAAGCCTAGAAGAGGTGCATGATTGAATAATTTAATCCCCATTTCTAGTGGTATAGTGGAGGATATACACAGGTACAGTATATGGGGTATTCCCCCTTTTTTCCTGGTCATTTACAACATACCCACCTGTCAGTCAAAAAGCCATTGGAATATAGGAGAGTATACCCACTTCCTCCTCAATAACCTATCAGTCTACAACTACCATTATACCACTGCCCCTTCAGGTTAACAGAGCTCTAAACCCAAAATAACCAACACAGCCAGGCCAGCGGAAGTCTGTAGTGCACCTGCTGTATGGGCCACACAGTACCGAAACAACAGTCATGTGAGCAATTTTACACATGGTGGTTGAACCATTTTGGTTTCATGCGCCACTGACTTACTTTCATAGAAATGAACAAGTGTTGCCTCCAGCGCTGTATCCAGTTCTCTTTATAGCCTACAGCCATGGCCTATCATACACAAGTAGATAGGCCTACACGCTTCCTGCTACACTGTGATTTGGTTAGCAGGTGTAGTTCGATGGAAGAACTTTATGTAAGTGCAATACAAATTTGCTGGAGTATCTCTTTAGTGGCTTAATTGTTGTTCAATTAAGCATTACTAAATGGTTAATTAACCATTTATAAAACCACTGGTTGCACTCTATAAACCATTCATAAACAATGGCGAATCAAACATGGTTGTTCACAGCATGAACTTCTTACAAGTTTCCACAAATAGCTTAATTTTGATGTGTAAGTTACATTATGAGTTTCACCTCAGTTCCTCTGGTGTGAAGAAGTAGCCTAACTGGCGTCAGTCAGGGCCTAAAGTTGGCATGAAGCCCCGCTCCTGTCATCGCTCTTGTTCCGTCAGAATATTCAATACATTCAGTGAAATTCATTTATTTCATTGGCTCGTGTGAATTCAGCGAAACCTGCGCTGTTCGCGTGCCATACGCTCTCCCCGCTGTCTGTCACCCGACATCTTCACTTTCCTCTCGCGGTAGCGCATCTTCAGCGGTCAGGCGGCTCGTCTGTCATTGGTCGCTTCGCTTGTCTGTCAAACGCGCTCTACCGTGGGATTGGGTTTCTCCCGGAGCCGTGTCCCTCCTGGCTGTACCTGTCTCACTGTGAGAGGTTGACAGCTCTTCCTGCTCCACGCGCAGCTCCCGCCCCTCCATCCAGCTCCAAGGAAGGAAGGAGGAACTGCTCGAGCCGCATGTGTCTGCAAAACCGTGCTGCTATGTGACTCCCCGGGATTATTTATCTGGTTTTGCGGTTGGTGGGAAGTAAGGTTGGAAAGTTTGTAATCACAGCCGGTGTTTTGGAGGGTGCGGGGTCCACAGGGAAGGTGGTGCAAGTGGTTTCGGAAGTGGAGCGTGGCAGCGAAAAGGAAAAAGGGGGGCTTTTCTTTCCTGTGTGATACCAGATAGCTCGTTTCGCTTGCTTGCCACGACGGGACTGACGTAGAATATGGCGGAGCATCACCCGGTTCCCGACAACAAACACAAATCCTCCCTGAACTCCGGAGCGTCGTACTCGGGGAACGGGCGCAGCAGCACGGCGGTAGCGGAGAGAGGCAGCAACGCCGGGGCAGGAGGTGGAGGAGGAGGTCTGTCCGGCGGCCTGTCGCAGCCGGCTGGGTGGCAGTCCTTGCTGTCTTTTACCATCCTGTTCCTGGCCTGGCTTGCCGGTTTCAGCTCCAGGCTCTTCGCTGTCATTCGCTTCGAGAGCATCATTCACGAGTTTGACCCCTGGTGAGTTGGTCCTGTCACACACCGAGCTTCTTTGACCTGTTTGGCAAGATAGGCTGGTACAAATGAACAGTGAGCCCCGGCTGCATTGTGAGGAAGTTTCTTTGCAACATGTCAAGTTAGCGGGTTCTATCATATCTTGTCACGCGCGTTAATGATCAGAAGCGATGTCCTTGCTTTTTTTGGTTCGGCCTCCAAGAACTTTAAGACCGGTACGAATTGGACCAGTGGTTACAAAAATGAATTAGCTTATTGTGTTGAATAATTTAAGCCACCAGACAATATTCTTGGACATCTTTTGTCAAAGCTTCAGCTTTAAATACACGTTTTTCTTTGTCTTTCCAGGCCATTGTGCTGATTAGAAACACATCACTTAATTTGGGCCCGCATTTTCAGTAGCAAGTGGCGCCTAAGGATCTATTGTAGTTTATTGTAAAGTGCAATGTTGTAACAGCCAGTAGAGGAGGGGGGGGTGGGGTGTCAGAGCAGAGCAGACGAGGATAATGGTGACAGCTTCATCTGACGCGGGTTGAACCCGGAAAGAAGCAGTCGCACTGGGTGAAGTCCTTCTGACACAGATTTCTCCTTTGTTTACCCACAGCTCACCTCTGCTCTGATTCAATGCCGTGCAGCAGCACTAGCACTGATTACAGGGTTTAATATAGCCTGTGTGCCAAACATGTGCCACACATATTTCAAAAGGAGCATGTCATGCCTCTCAGTGACTTTAAGGCGATCATGTTGTACCTTATCCCGCACATATTCCTACAGACTTGGTATCAGAATCTGTCTGAAGTTAATGAAACTATTGTTTGTCCCCAGATTGTAATGTGCTTTTTTTATTCAGTATTCAGATTCATGTGGCCGAGAAAGTTTCCAGGAGACTTACCTTGAACACTTTGGCAGTGCCCTGGTACATGGTGCTGGTTTTAATTCAAGTGTGAAAAGGGTTTCCTCACACCGTCTCAGACATTAGTGCAGCCAGGCAGCAGCTGACAGTTGGACAGTGAGGTTAGCAGACTTTGCTGCAAGATATGCCTCCTTACACAGTCAGGTTTTGTACTTTTTGTATTTTCTTGGAATACTTGTAATGTGCTCACACATGTGCATGTCAAAGCTCACCGCAGAGATAGCGAAGCATAGGAGTTTAAACAAGCCACTGCTTCTCCAAACCCGAGCCGATGCTCTTTGTTGCACTGGCCGTCAAATTGTTTGTGTTTGATTTCAAAATCTCGACCAGCGTGACTTCTGATATATATTGTCCAAGCTTTTTATTTGTACTCCAAGGGACTGTTGCCTGGCCCAAGCCTGCATTGCATCACTGAAACCATTTAATGATTATTCTGAGACCAGCAGTGTGGATTAAACTGCCAGCTTCATGTCTGTCTGCTGAATAAAAGAGGAGGCTTGAAAGCTTTGGCTGGGGAGAATCCCTCAGTTTCTGTGTGTCACTGTCTGAAAGCCTAACATGGCATGACATGGAGTGAAATTTATTCATACACTGCTTCATTGTTCTATCATTCTCCCTTTGCTATCAGACTGGCAGCATTATTTAAACTAGATATTTGGACAGTTGAGGAGGTGTGTGTGTCAGTCAGTGTTGCCTCTGCAGGAAATCTGATGATGCAATATGTTAAAGGTCAGTTAATATTTTTTGGACATTTAAAACCTTGATTGTGTTGCAAAATGCACCAATTCTGCCAATATGTTTCTAATAGATTTTTACATTGAAGGTAGTAAATCAGTTTTCAAATAGTGATTACAATATTGAGGCTGCCTCACCTCATGTTTCAAAGGGGAAACCCCTGGTGTGTGCGTGTGCCACTGTGAGCATTTGTGAGGAGGAGGTAGTTTGTCTTTGCATAACTGATATAAACATACTACAGGCTGCTGTTTTTCTGTCAAATGGACATTTTAAATGTGTGGAAGGAGTCCAGTTTTTCAGAGGTCAAGCTAAAGGTACTTCAAGGTTGTCCAGCATTTAAATGGATAAAAGCCGCAGAGTTTACAGCCCTCTCTGATCACTGTTTGATGATAGTTCCTTCATGTACGACCTCCCGACCTCACTGCAAGGTTGCTGTCATTCTGTAGCTTATCTGTAAAAGAGTATTGCAGGGGAGCTCACAGTTGTATCACCCCTCCGCTGCCCTGTTTGTTCTCGTTCTACCCCTCTCTCCCTCCCTCGCGCGCTCCCTCTGATGTGTCCTTTTGATGTGGCTGGTTAATAGTCATTTTCCTTCAGAAGAGTTAGATCGAGCTATTAGATCTGACAGCAAAGCGGATCGGCGCTGGTATTACCAAGCAGCCAGCCCCTATATAGTTATGCTTTGAGCTGGGGCTGTGTGAATCTTTAATGGAACAGCATCAGAAAAAAAGTAAAAAACAGCTTCATTAGTACTTATGTCTCTGTCTAGTACAGTAAAGGTTGCTTGATAGAGAGTGGACCTCCCTTGGAGCAAGGTCTGGCAGGGAGACGGCATCTGATCCACCTGTCATCGTGTGCTTAGAGCTCCGGCACTATGAATAATGGTTTGTAGGAAATTTAAATGCAATTAGTGTCAGTAGCCGGTACATTTATGAAGAATGACGTGGCTGATATGAATGAACCACACTATTTGAAACCACACCAGTCTTCTCTTTGTTGCCATTTTTGTCACATCTGCATCCCAAGTAACTGAAGTGACATCTCAGGGTTGGATGTTGAACATCAGTACTTTTTTTGTTAATGACCAAAATATGTATTGAATGTGAATATTAAATCATTAAGTTCCAAAAGCTACCACTGAATGTCTAGTCAAATTTATAAGTTGATTGCTAATTATTTGAACAGGTAATTTCTTTTTTAAATAAAAGTTTAATCAGTTTTAGATGGTATTTTATTTAGACAAAGTTTTTCTATGGCTGCTTGTGTTGAGACAGATTGCTCAATGACTGACACTTTTTGCATTTTAAATGACAAATGTGGCTGGCGGAAAAAAAAGAACAGCTGTGACTAATTAACATGAATGCCGTAGGTACAGAGTTTCCGCCAGTATATCGCAAGCCCGACAGCTCACTTGGCCTAAGTTGACCCCTGCTTGGCGAAAGCATCAGGGATTTTTTTATTTTAAAGGGGTCCCTTTATGCTCATTTTTAGGTTCATTCTTGTATTTTGGCTTTCTGCTAGAACATGTTCACAAGCTTTAATGGTCAGAAAACACTATATTTTCCTCATACTGTCTGTGCTGGAGCATCTGTATAGAGCCTCTGTTTGAAAAGCTTCATTTTTGCACCTGTCTCTTGAAGCCCCCCTCTGAAAAAGCCCAGTCTGCTCTGATTGGTCAGCGTTTCCAGGTCTTTCGCATCTCTGCACCATCATTGCACCCAGGGAAGAACTGTTACAGATCATAGCAGCACTTTTCACCAGTTAAAGCTTCCCAACACAACCAGACATGTTCGAGCAGGAAAAATGATCCGAAATTGGGGTGAAATTAACAACATTGGCAACCAGTATTACATGTTTCCCTGATGTTAGCATGTAGCTACATGGAGCAGTGTATGTAATGTAAACACTTGCAGTAACATGGGTGGAACAGAGGACAGTATAAAGAAATCTGCCAGGAGCTGACATCAGCTTTTAGCCAGGGAAAAAAACATTGGAAACAGAGTATTCAGAATGTTCTGAAACCTGAGGTTTTTGCTCACAGTGTCACTTTTACATTTGTTTCCTTTAAAATGTATTTTTAATAGTTTTTTTTTTTTTTAATGCAACACTTAAGCCTTCTAATCATCTTCAATTCCAGGATTCTACCCATCACCACTTTAAGGAAGTCTTATTATCCTGGGGCCAAAAACGTAGGATGGGGAGGATGAAAATTAATTTTAGATGATGGTTGGAAAAAAAAACTCTGCTAATGATATAATGAACGGCAATAAAATGAAACTGACTGGTAATGGTAACGTTTCAGGTAATGAGGCAGCAACTGACATTTGCATTTACAGTGAGTGAGCTGACAGTAACGTTCCGTTATCTGTGACTGCCTGCTTGAAACAGTTATCTATGTGTCAAACCTCTGCAACAGCTAAAATCATGTTACTTATGTTAACGACTTACTTACCTATACATTCCCTATGGGACATCAGGCTGCAGTAAGATTTCTCCATCACATCTTGTCCTAGGCAACATGCTGCAGCTCTCCACCCAACAGGTGCATCATGTCCTGAAACTCCTCCACGACCAGCTAACAGGACTGTTTCTGTCTTTTTGGCTGCTGCAGTTGTGAACATTTAGTAGACTGCCACTCAAAACTTGTGAGCCAACAAACTAAGCTGAATCTGTATACGCAGCAGTTATTAGCCATGCTAGTGGCATGGCTCTGGGATTGCATGTGTCTGTTTGTCTGTTGACGATGCTGAACTATCTCAATAACTGTTGGATGGATTATAATTAATCTTGGTGCACTCATTCATGTCCCCCTCAGGATGACTTGTAATCACTTTCAGTGGGATTTATATTTTTGTTTCAAATCAGTGCCTTACCTACGGCGTAGGCTCTGCATAGATGTGTATCCTATGCTGTAGCCTGATGTGCACCTCCCCAGAAATATAACAACACGTTGCAGTGACGCAGACCGCCTGTTTACACAATAAATTGTGAAGGCAATAAAGCCCTAACAAAACAGCATATTGTCTGTGAGTCATCCTGGCTTCACATCAGCAGAAGACAATCATGTAGCTGCTAACCTATGCAATGTAAATGTTATAGGCTTATACTAATAACAATAGCATGTTTTATAGTATGTAGGGAAAACGTGTCTAAGATAAGTTTCGGTGAACTTTGTAAGTCAAAATGGAGCAGAATTTCATGATATTAACCTTAATTAAATGTTGCCGTTGTTCCTGGCTTCATAAGAGGAAGAGTCCACTAGCTGCTAGGCTAATTTAAAAATTTATAGGCTTGTGCTAATAATGTTAGCATTTGTGGGGAAAATGTGCCCAGCAAAAGACAAGTGTTTTGTCTGTTA